TAGCAAAAGGTACAATGTATTGATTTACAATTACAACTTACACTTTTAAGTTGTTGCTAAAAATACAGTAATATTGTCTTGCTGTGAATATAAAAACTAATTTATCATTTGATGGCTGTTATATCAAAGAGAGATATTTTAATTGGTTAAATAAGTATTAATTAGTGTAAAACATAAATGTCATTTCTAAGCAATAGAAAGAATGGTTAAAATGAGATCTTCTCTCTCTCACTTGTTTCTTTGGAGAGGCTTCCTGTTACTATGTCTCACTTCCTTGGAAATGACGTTCAATTTCTGATAGATCTAAGTGAAGTTGGAAATCACCTCAAGCTTGACGAAGGGGAGGAGAAACTTTACTAGTGGTTAGTGGTCTATGTGACCTGTAAATTAAAGGTTGAAATGTTTGATTTTGGGGCGAGGAGTTTTGCTCTATTTTAGGTCGCCACACTTTCATTATATTATCTACAACATTTAGAAAAGTACTTTGTTTTACCTGCATGAACATTGGCCTTTTTAGCAGATGCCGCAGTGATCACCAAAATACATTTAATTGTCATTTGAGGTATTATCCTGAAGCTGATGTTAGAAATATATGGAAGCCAATTTCTGCCACATAAGAAAAAAAAATCATGCTTTGGTAAATTATAATTACTACACATACCAAAATTATGAAATGGAAAACCAAATTATAAGATAAAAAGTCAAAATTGTTAGTTAAAAAAGTCATTATTATGTCAAAAACGTTTTATCTAACAATTATTACTGTCATAATTATTACTATGTCTTAATTATGACTTTTTATTTGGTAATTTCGACTTCTCTCATAATTTAAATCTCTGCAAATTATTCAGTTGCTAAATAGTGGTTGTCTGCAATATGATTCCGGCATGCAGATCCACACTTGCTTTGGGGTCTACACTCTGTTGCTATAAATTGTTGTTATTGTGCTGTTTTGATAAGTTTGTTGGCATATATGACCGATTTTATGCACAAGAAAATTACTTGATTTGCTCATTCAAGCAGAAAAACAATTTTTGCTAACATAACCCAACATAAGGAAGATCAGATAATGAATTTCATTTACAGATAATGTGTGAAAATTTGCATACTTTTACACTTGTCATGGTGTTTCTATTTTTTCTCTGATTTTAATCTGTCTTTGAGTCCTAAGCTATAATGCATCGAGTCAATGTAGAGAGTTGGATGTTTCAGCATACCTGGTTGAAAAAGTCACTGTTAACCTCTGAACTGCACCAAACCATCAAATATACCATCCTGTTAACCCTTTTTGAGCAAAACAACTGAAACCGAAAAAAAAATTTCTGTAACTTTTAGACTTTGATTTGCAGGCCTAACCATGTTCTTTTCTCCTTACCACTTTAAATGTAACTGGCCACAAGAATCATATTCGAACAAAACACTATAGTAACAGAAAAGGGAAGCTCAGATATACTGGAATGTGACTAGTGTATTGTTTGCACAATTTTTAGACAGGTTTCTAGGGAAGAACACTTGACACTGGTACCTACAGTCAAAGCCACAAGTCTGACCATGTTCTGGTTGAAATCTGAGAATGATATACCAAAATCAAAAGTGTGATAGTGAGTCTTGGTGTATTTTCATTACTTGGGAGTGTTGAGGTGCATACATATGAGCACAGTATACACAAAGAGTTAAATAATTTGTTAGATCAGTTCAAATCTGCATGAATAGGATGCTGATAATCAAAGTTTTTTTTTACGTTATTAAAACAGATGTGCCACATCTTCAGACATCTAAGTGCAGCTGAGGATAAAGGTAAGTTAAAAAATGGCTTACGGTTTCAGCGAATCTGTTGAGCTGTTTGACTTTATTGTTTACAAATCAGGGCATGTCTCTGGTTTTCTTATCCAATGTATTGCACTGCTGTAACATTTATTAATTCTTTATAATATGTTTAATTTATATAGCGCCTTTCCCAAGCTCAAGGACACTGTACAAAAGCAGTAACACAATAGACAGTCAATTCACATAATTATAAACAGTCATTTCACAATCAATTAATCAAATTAAGTGGACAGCGGACATTTGCCCAGTCCGGGGATAGACATGATTGCAGTTGCATATCATGGTACAATTATGTACTGGAAACAGAGATACATAATAATTAACAACAGAAAAAGAAATATTACATATAGATACTCTGCTGTATTTTTGTATTTAAAGCACCATATTTAGTCATATATGTGAAAAGAAGAAATATTACATATGCATACTTAACTGTGTGTTTTTGTTTTACTTAACATAGATTTAAATGAATATTTCAAGTCTGTTGTGCAAGTTCTACAGTCAGTTCCTTATTCTGGTCCCTGTAGCCACACACAGACGTGTGTAGGCCACATGATTTCACAATGTCTGAAGATAATATGTTGCACAACTCTATTGTCAAAATCACACTCCAGTTTCAGACGTATTGAATATGGTTCAAGTAACGGATCTGAAACACAACCCTTGTTTCGTTAGCATTAGAAACAAGAAGCTCTGAGTGCAGTTACATGAGCAACTGTTCAAATGTAGAGCTGTGTGGACATTTCTGTATTTTAACTTTATTTAATCTGTGATGCAGAATTTAATGACATTAACAAAATAAAAAAAGTAAATAATAAAGTATGAAGGATTAAAAAAATTTATTGAGTTGCTTGGACTATATGTCAAAAGAGGGTCACTTGAATAAATATATTGACATATTTGCATGGGTAAGTGGAAATATAGAGCAAATGTCCATCTACTCATATATCTTGCTGTGATAAATTATGTTAATCTTCCACAGGTTACAGCTGGACTTGAAACATACCGTTCAGACAAAAAGAGAGAATACTGCTGCTCTGTGGTGGACAGAATCATTGCAGGTCACAAATTATTCTATCATTGTTGCCATTGGTTGATTTGTGATCAGTCATCAATAAACCTAATGAATAATATTAAGTAAGCCAAAGTTATCAACTTGAAACTGTCTATTAATAAACTGCATATAGGTAGTCAGTCATTTGTCTAAAGAGACTAAAGTCTTAAGCTACATATCCTTACCACAAGCCAGGAGGAACATTGTTATGAATAGATCTGTGAATACATATTTCAGGTCATATCTACAAGTGGACTTGGTTAAATTAATGTCTGTATATTTTGAGACACAAAAACACTGCTCTGGTTTTACACGTTGATCTATATACAGTAGACAATGGGCTCTTGTAACTGAATCTAAACCACAATTTGCAAAAAAAATCAAATTGAACATGAATAAGAATCAAGCAAGCACTATAAAGAATATGGTTGTACCATGCAGTCATTGCTCAATACATAATTCTCACTTTAGAGTTAAAATACTTACTTCTGATAAGCATACTATATTTTTAAGGGGTTCATAAACTGAGAAACCTAAATTCCGAGCTACATATCCTTACCACAAGCCAGGAGGAACATTGTAATGAATAGATCTGTGAATACATATTTCAGGTCTACAAGTATCTACAAATATCTACAAGTGGACTTGGTTAAATTAATGTCTGTATATTTTGAGACACAAAAACACTGCTCTGGTTTTACACGTTGATCTATATACAGTAGACAATGGGCTCTTGTAACTGAATCTAAACCACAATTTGCAAAAAAAATCAAATTGAACATGAATAAGAATCAAGCAAGCACTATAAAGAATATGGTTGTACCATGCAGTCATTGCTCAATACATAATTCTCACTTTAGAGTTAAAATACTTACTTCTGATAAGCATACTATATTTTTAAGGGGTTCATAAACTGAGAAACCTAAATTCCCTTGATCTTTTCACATATACAAGGTCATTGTACTATAAAAACTTCCTGTAAGTTTCAGAACTCAAAACTTTCTCATTAGTCTAAAAACAGCTACTCACTCAAACAGATCATTTGATATGAGTATTTATGCAGTTTTAGCCTAAATCACAGCAGTGTCCATCTATGAGGAATGTAGGCTCTCAAACATACACAAGCCAGTCAGAGCAGTGAGCATTTACTTCTGAGTCTACAATCCACCACGCCTATTTGTTCTGTTGAGGGGGGTTAAAAACAGGACAGAAAATAGCATATTACTTCTAAATTATGTTTTTGATGTAAAAAAAAATTCTTGATATATTATATATTATAAGTGGACCTCAGAGAACTACAAAATAAAAAACAGAGGCAGTTCATGACACCTTTAAAGTTTTTGTTTGAAATAAAGATCATAGCTTCTTTACAGTAAAATCTGGCTGTTTCTTTTGAATTTTTATTAGTGAGGCCAGATAGGATGTGGTTAAACTTCTGAGAAGGTGTCAACCCACATTAGAGCTGTTCTTTGAAAATTAAAGCAATTTGTCACAGTACCTTTACTGGCTTTTTTTTACTGGCCTTATATTGCATAGAGCAAGATAAATGAGCCATGAAAAAACAGGGAGGAGAGTAAGAGAGAACAGGACATTGAGCTGGGACTCAAATGTCTGAATGCTGCCACAAGACTATGAAACCAGATTATAAGCGTTGTTGTTTAAAACTGACCATACCCAAATCAAAAATACTGCAAATATAAATAAATTAAAATGTACTAGTCTTATGTGTCAACCTTTTGTTGAGATAACCCTCACAAATATAATGGTCTTACGTGCATGTTTGTTTGGTCAGAAATGATCAAATGTAAATAGTCTAAACAACAGATCATCATGTCACTAATTTGTTTAGAACAGACTGAGGTTATTGGCTTCCTGTCTATCAACAGGAAAGATGAATCACAATATCATTAGATTCAAAATGAGATCATACAGACTTGAGCAGTAAAAGAGAAGATATTTTGATCAAAATCGCTTCTCCTTAGTTTTACAAGCACCTTTAAATGCGATGTGTGATGTTGAAAATATTTCCAGTAAGAGTATGTTTTGTGGAGAGAGCAAAAAAGGAAGAGAGAGAAAAAAAGTCAGGAAGCACTAAGATAAATGTGTTTCCTGAACAAATTCAGTTACAATCAGACCATCATCTGATCAGTCAACCCCTGCACAGACAGCACAGAGAACAGGTACAAGACTTAGATTTTTGCTTCTACTGCACTCTAATATTTAATGTTAGCCCTTTATACAACTATGATACTTCTTTAAAAAATAGATTCTTTAGACTAGAGACTTTTTCTGAAAATATTTGAAATATGTGTAATTATAATTAACCAGACTTTAAACTGGAGTTTAGACTTTTCACTGCAGTGTGAAAATATATTGGTTTTGAAATTAATTACAACAAATGAGAATATTCTCTCTATTTTACATTCAATCTAAAGTTACTGCAAGTAATAATTATTCCGTGTTTTTTCTCCATGATTTTACTAGTAACAACACCACATCCATCAAAATAATTAAAATATATGGTAATGGAAGATAATGGTGAAACTAATTATTATTATTATTATTTTATGTTTGATTGTATATGCCAAACTTATGCAAAGCTAATTCTTAGCACTTTCAGTTCCCTCTAGTTGACTATTCCCACTTTTGCCCCAAGAACCCTTTATAAACTACCCTAAAAAAGTATAAGATTTAATTTCACACACTTTCAGATCTGACAACCAACTTTACTTGATGTTGTAAAGGTGTTTTCAAGAAACTTTTTGAATATGTATGCTCTCAGCAAATTGGGGATTTCAAAAACATGTTTTTGTCTAAATTTATCAAATGAGTGCAGTTTTATTTCCCTGTGGACGAAGCCTCTAGTTCCCCTTTGCAGTGGTTGTATGAGGATTCAGTTTCTGTGGTCTGACGTCTCGCTCTCTTTCCCTCTGTTTTTCTGTAAGACAAGACGACGTGAGAGACGAGTGCATCTCGTGCCCACTATTTTACTTGTATGTCTCACTTCTCTGAAGCTCATCATGAAGGACACCACATCAGCTGCAGAATTCTTAGAGGTGAGTGTTAAGACAGTACTAAAAAAACAAAAGTTAACAATCTGATTTAACAGAATATTGTCCTTTGCTCTGTTTCAGTACACAGATTATGACTACCCAAACACTTCTTACTATGATGACAATGGACATGAGGATGACACTGCTGCTGCCCCCTGCAGTCTGAAGGAAACATGGGACATTCTTGGTCGCTTTGCCCCCGTGGCTTACATCCTAGTCTTTATCTTGGCACTAGTGGGTAACATCCTGGTTCTGTTCGTGATCCGTCGCTATCGGCAGTCTCGACACAGCCCCTGCTCCTTCTCACTGACAGACACTTTCCTGCTCCATTTGGCCATCTCTGACCTTCTACTGGCTATAACTTTGCCGTTTTTCGCCGTCGAGTGGATCAATGAGTGGGTCTTCGGTGTAATCATGTGTAAAATAGCTGGAGCGTTGTTCTCGCTAAACGTCTATTGTGGAGTGCTTTTTCTGGCCTGCATCAGTTTTGACCGATACCTGGCTATCGTACATGCCATCAACATTAGCTGGAGACGCAAGACCTGCCACGCTCAGCTGGCCTGTGCCACCATCTGGGGAGTCTGCCTGGGACTGGCGATGGTGGATGTGTACTACCGCAATGTGGTGAATGTATACGGCATAAATCGGTTGATGTGCCACATAGATTTTTCTCAAGAGAACAGCCAGCAATGGCAGATCGGCATGCAGCTGGTTAGCATGATTATTGGATTCATACTTCCCCTACTGGTCATGCTGTATTGCTACCTTCGCATTTTCAAAGCACTCTGCCACGCCACGCGTAGGCAGAAACGACGCTCGCTGAGGCTCATCATCTCATTGGTCATTGTGTTTGTAGTCAGTTGGGCGCCTTATAATGCCTTGCGGATGACCGACAGCTTGCAGATGCTTGGGGTCATTGTCAAAACCTGCGCGCTCAACAAGGTGCTAGATGTGGGCACTTTTGTGACAGAGAGCCTGGGGTTGGCGCATTGTGCTTTAAATCCACTACTCTATGGCCTTGTGGGGGTAAAGTTCCGTCGTGAGCTTGCTCAGATGTGCAAGGCTGCTCTAGGACCCCAGGGGTGCCTCGGATTAGCAGGATGGGCAAACGGTCGGGGATCAACCCGCAGGCCTACTGGATCATTCAGCTCGGTGGAGAGTGAGAATACCTCGTACTTCTCTGTCATGGCCTGAAAAGAGTGCAAATGGCAGGAACAAGAGTGCAAGAATAGAAGTGATGGTTGTTTTTATCTGGAATTGGGAAGAAACCACAATTTCAGTTTGTGTGGTCTGAGAGATATTCAAACTTTTTCTTTTTTGAAGCAAGGCATTTTCTAACGCAGTCTTAACATCTATTCTGTTGGAGGAGGAGACTTTGTCATCAATTTTCTGTTGTTATTATTAAAGATCTACCTGCATGTTTTTAAATATGAAGGAGAATATCCAAAAATGAACCAATTTCTTTCCAGTTTTGCTGCATTTTAGCTATAGGCTCTATATAGCTATATATTCATATTTTATATCTTTTATATTTTACAAACATTACATGCTGATTTCAGAAAAATGCTGTAGAATTTTTTTCATCAACAATTCTGCCTTTGTGGCAGCTGTAATCGTGACAATCATTCGTTGAGTTGTCTGGTTCTGGTGTCACAAACAGAAACTGAAAACAGACACCACATCCACTTTCTTTACCTTTATTTTTTATAAATACTCTTCATAAATAACGCTGTAACATCAAATTAAGTTTTGTTTATCATTTTATTAATCTGTTGTTTGATATTTTAAGTAGATGACATAATATAATGCATAACACATCACATACTGTACATAATAGATATGAACATGACAGGATGCTTTCTCCTAATGTAATTTTTGTAAAATGTTTCTATTGTTATTTTTGTGAGTTCTGTGTTGCCACCTCTGATAAAGTGTAGATTCCATTAAACTTGTAATATAGGTTTGTGTGAGTCACTTTTTTATTACTCTTCCTCAGCTCTATACTACGGAGGATGTGACACTCTGAAGATATATTTTAATTCTGAGAATGACAGCCACAAAAGAAACCCAGAGCAAAAGGTGTAATTGCTTTTGTTTCATCTCTATTTAAATTACTTGTTTCAATTTCTTGTTTCACCTCTATTTTCATCTGTATTAAAATTACTTAAAGATCTTTTTTTTAACAATATATTTATTACTTTTTCAGTTTGCATATTACAGCAGATTACACAGTAAGTAACAATCATGTAAACACAGCAAACATTTTACACCAAATTCTCCCTCCCATCACCCCATCCCAAAACAAAAGAAGGAAAAAATAAAATAATAATAAATAAATAAATAAAATAATAAAATAAAATAAAATAAAAATTTAAAGATACCTAAATCAAGTAAAGAGTGTTTCCCAAGTCTGTAAAGAAGATCATGATATTACCTTACTCCCTCAGAGCTTGTTGTAGCAGGCTACCAACATTAACATTGTGCCTTAAGAAATTAGTAAAAGGTCTCCAGACATCTTCAAAAATGTTTTGTTTCTTTTTGACAATATACGTGATCTTTTCCATTGACATGTTTGATGCCATTTTTTTGATCCACTTTCCAATTCTTGGCTCACTGATATTTTTCCAATTAAGAGCAATTATTCGTTGAGCTTGTAAAATACACATTTCAATTAATCTGACCTCTTTGCTTTGTAAGAGAGGATTGATAGGATATATACCCAGAATAAAAAGCTTAGGATCCAGTGGTAATTTCTTTGATAGAATTTGGTCGATCATATCAATTATACCTTTCCATAAAGACTTCACTTTCTCGCATTCCCATATACAGTGGTACAGTGTACCTCTCGCCTCATTACACTTTATACAGGTATCAGGAATATTATCATTAAACTTGTGCAACATAACAGGAGTTATATGTTCGCATCAGCCACTTATATTGTATGAGTTTCAAGCTACTGTTGACTGTCTGTATCTGAGCCTTCTTGCATGCCTCATTCCAATCCTCTAGAGATATTTCATCATTTATATCTTCTTTCCATAATCTTAGTTTAGATTCTGAGGATTCATTAGACCCAGATACAAACAATTCAAACAAAGAGGAAATTGAACCTTTATCATAACAGTGACCTATGATTGCTGCCTCTAATGGGGAGATGACAGGAATATCTAATGAATGATTTTGAGATGAGGATATAAAGCTTCTAAGTTGAAGATATTTGAAAAAATGGGTCTTTGGGATGCCATATTTGGTTGATATTTCTGCAAAGGACATAAATATTTCATCCTCATTGTACATGTCTTGCACTTTCCTTAACCCTTTTTCAGCCCATATCCGAAATCCTGCATCACATTTCCCTGGTTTAAAATGAACCCAGGAGGGGTTTATGTTCAAATATTTACAAGAATCAAACCAAAATTTTTGAAGATCTATTTTATTCTGAGAATGACAGCCACAAAGGAAACCCAACGGTATAATCGCCTTTGTTCGTCTCTTAAAAATACCTCTCTAAAAATACTTTTCTAAAAATTAAAATAGTTATCTTTCAGAAAGCATTTTGGAAGTGTTTGTATTTATTAATTTATTACAGTTTTCCACAAATAAATACATTTTAATTTTTTAATTCAGATCTTTTCTGTAGTGAAATTCTGACGTTAGTGTTGGTAACAATGATAATATAAAAAGAGTACTTGCAAATTCAGAGCATGCTCTTTTAGCAGAAAGGCAGTCTGGGGGTCAGGAAATGTGAGTCAGACTGGAACTCTTATTACCCGCGTAAGCACCACAACTAGCATTTGCTGAGCCTGAGCTCTGAAGGTATACAGTGCCTTGCGAAAATATTCATACCCCTTCATTTTTTTTCACATTTTGCTAAGTTGCTGCCTTATGCTAAACTGCTTTAAATTACTTTTTCCCCACATCAATCTATACTCCATACACCATAATGGTAAAGCAAAAAACAGGTTTTTAACATCTTTGCACATTCATTAAAAATAAAAAACTTAAATGATTCCATTGCATAAGTATTCATACCCTTATCTGGGACAGTTGAAATTTAGCTCAGGAGCATTCATATTGCTTGTAGATGTTACTACACTTCGAGTGAAGTTAACCTGTGGCAAATTCAATTGAATGGGTATGATTTGGAAAGGCACGCACAACTTAATTAAAGGTCTAACAGCTGATAATGCATATCAGAGCAAAAACCAAGCCCTGAGGTCAAAAGGACTGCCTGTAGAGTGTAGCGTCTGCGTAGGACCATGCATGATAGTTGGACTGTTTATGGCTTAAAAGACCCCTTTTAGCCTTTTGACATTTGCATATAAATTACAGTTCTGGTCAGAGATGTTACGTTGTATAGGGGTTTTAAATTGCCAAATGGTTCTTCGCCATCAAAGAAGATTAGAACCAGCCCCCACGGGCATCCTGCAATCTGAGTTCAAACACATTCTACAACGAGCTGTAAATGGCCAAACGAACACACACACACACACACCCAAACTAACACACACACACACATAAAGACATTTCTTTATTTTAGACTATAATTAATCAGTTATAATTGTATCTGGTATATGCATGTGTTGTGTGTACATTCCCTTGTTAGATTAGATGAGTTACCACTCGTTATTTGTATTAGTTAAAGCCATAAAACACTGATATTCAGGTGTATGTATGTATCTTTGGTTTAATCTATTCCAAATGGTTGCTTCTTGGTATCAATATTTCCTGTTTTTCATTCCTCGGACAATGACGTACAGTATGTGATTGTGAAACGCATCATATAACTCGTACGATATTTTGGGTTAAAACTACGGATATTCCAGACCGGCCATAAAGCATGCAAATGAGCCATAAAACAAGAGACAAAGAAAGATTCTCCCGCTCAAAATCCATGTCTCTCATTGGCCAGCACACACAGAATAGAAATTGTCAAAAGCGATCAGCCCAAAATAACTTTGCTCAGAAAACTTCTTCTTCGTTTGAGACAACACCTTTCAGGACTCTCAAGACCTTCCTCTTGAGTTTTATTTTCCGGCAGCTTTTACTTTCAAGTAACGTTAGTCGCTGTGGACTTCTTCATCAGAGGAACCAGAAGTAAAAACTTCCAGCTGACTCCTCACGAACTCATCAAAAGACCTCCGTTATCTACCGCATCAGGACTCTTCTTCAGCGATCGAAAAACCAATGCAAGTAACCGCTTCAATCAGACTGTGAGAAACAAGAGTCTCTGGTCTGATGAACCTCAATTCCAAGCATCATGTTTGAAGGAAACCAGGCTCTGCTCATCACCTGAAGAGTACCACCCCGAAAGTAAAGTGTGCTGGTAGCAGCCTCATGCTGTGGGCCTGTTATTCAGTGGCAGGGACCGAGGGACTCGTCAGAGTAGAAGATAAGCTCAATGCACCAAAATATTGAGTTAGCCTTAATGAAAACCCAGTCCAGAGCATTCAGAACCTCAGACTGGGCAGAAGGTTTACCTTCCAAAAGGACAATGAATCTAAGTACACAGCAAGAGTGGCTTATAGACAACTCTGTGAATGTCCTTGAGTGGCCCAGCCAGAGCCTGAGCTTGAACCCAATCAAATAATTCTGGAGAAACTTGAAAATGTGCATTTGCTCCCATCCAACCTGACAGAGCTTGAGAGGTGAAGAGGTGAGGTGAAGAATGGCAGAGAATTGCCAAATGCTGATGATCAAAGCTTGTCGCATTAAACAAAAAAGACTTGAGACTGTAAAGGTGCTTCAGCTAAATATTTAGTTACTTTAATTTAGAATACTTATGCAATGTACTTATTTCAGTTTTTTTATTTTTAATAAATTTACGAAGTTGTGACAGTTCTGTTTTTGCTTTGTCAGTCTGGTGTATGTAGTGTAGGTTGATGTGGAAAAAAAGTAATATAAAGCAGTTTAACATAAGGCAGCGACATAACAAAATGTGAAAAAATGAATGGGGTATGAATACTTTCGCAAGGCACTGTAGATTTCACAGCTTTCGTAACCTTCAAAATTGTCTTTCTGCGGATTTTAGTTCATGTCGGTTTGCTTAGAGGTACATGCTAAATAGCCAAACTCTGACCCCATTATAGAAATATAAAGTAGCACAGCATTGCTGTGATGTGATCTCAGTGGGACAAGCATTATGTCACCCAAATATCCTGATTCAATAGGAAAAAAAGTTAATGCAGGACAGCATTTTGTACTTGTTTTAACATTGATAAAAGAACATCTTTTGGACAACAATTCCATTATCATCAGCAAGCTGGTTAGCAGGTTTCCTATTCTCTCTGATTACAAAGCACTTGTACATGCTCGTTTGACTTAATGGGAAGTGGGATTTTTTCACACGCTATGAAGACAGCTTAA